CCCAAGGAGGGGTCACTATGAGTCTGGTCCAACTCAACGGCACATAACAACAACAACAACATACAAGACATTGTTAGTATATTAATGTGGAGACACTTGATTCCATTATATTCATCCAAAGAATCCTGTTCATTTGTTTTAGAAAATAACCAATTTGGTAAGATTCATCTAAAAACTCTTATCTCTTTGGTGTCTGCTAAAAATCTCAGTTCACCTCTTTTATTGTTATTTGGGCTACTTGAAGTCTGTCTTTCACACATGTGGTACAAGATCATCTAGAGATTTGGATAGTTTGTACACAGAATTTGTAGTTCCCCTTTTACTTTCCAGCAACTCTGGTTCCCTTAAACTGTGTCTACTATTTCTTTAGTCCAGAAAGACTATTAGTTTTCTACTGGAGTTTTAGCAGCACTGACTGAGACCTGCTCTGGCACTAAAAACCATGACAGGGGAAACTTAACATATGTCCTCTTCTTCCAAGTTTGACTGCTCTTCAGAATCTGCCTATATTTTTCTACTCTCCAATATCTTCAGTTAATTCTCTGTACTTTTCACAGTGTTTATAGTTAATATGTGTGGGATGGTTAGTCCAGTGTGAACTTAGTTGGCCATTCCTTGAAGCAGAACTCTCCTAGTAGACTATTAAAGTAATCCCTAGTTTGAGTGGTAAATGCCTGGCTAAGTAGCATGAACCACTGGGAGAAACAAACAGAAGAGATAAGATAGAAGAAAAGTTTTGTGACTCCTTGCCATGGGAAATAAAAGTACAATGAAGAAGATGTAAAGATGTTAAGCCTAAGTTGCTATGACAAAGAGAAACAATAAAAGAAACAGGAAAATTTGAATGAGAATGTGGTTTTTAAAAAGAAACAAATATGAATTATTTTGGACTTGTTAAATATTAGATGAGGAATGTACAAGTTGCAGTTGGAGATCTGTGACTCAAGAATGGAAAAGCAAAGGTTATTGATGACAAATTTATAATTCATCAACCAGGAGCTCAGAGCTGAGGCATGGGGCTAGATGGGACATGGGGTTCCCTGAAGGAGAGAACAATGGAAAGAAAGTAAAATGGCAGAAGCTATGGAAAAGCAGGAAGGGAGGTGATGTATTGGACATTTGGAGCATAAACAGGGAGGTAAAGAATGCATTGAGGAGCCAATTAAATGTTCAGAATTTTGCCTAGAGCAAATTGAGTTCAGCCTTACTCAGATAATTCCTCCTTCCAGTTGACAGAAATCGTTGCGTGTGGATTCTGTTAAGTGGTGTTGAGTATGCTGGGCAAGCAATAATAGCCCCTCTCCTCATGTAGTGTCTGCAGCTTGCAGAGCTGCTGTTCAGCTGGACCTTTTGAAAACTCATTTTTCTCACTTTAGGGGAGCTCCAACCATTTAGGGAGCTGGAGAAAAAGAATTTTCTACTCTTATTAATGTTAGACAAAGTTAGAGAGGCAATGAGCGTTTTTATTAGAACTTTCGCTTCATCATTTTTAAAAATGAGTGCATAATACAATAATATATGGCCAATTATCAAATCGGTCAGCTTAACTTAATTGCGAGCCTTATTTTATTAAAAATATAAATGCTACATTTAAACTATGTGTTTAGTAGGGTGGACTGTGATTCATGTAAGTCTGGTATCAGTCACAGAGATTAACTTGCTTTAAAAGCCTTTTGTTTGATTCTACTGTGTTGGCATTCATTGGATTAGAGATTTGTTGTTTTGGTGGTGGTAGTTTTGTTGAGAGTGTTGACTCTGAGATGGGAACAGAAATATTAATGCCTTTTCATTTTGGCAGTGCTTTCTACCCCCTGCACCTGCTATAGGGTGACTATGACTGGTTTTCTGCCCAGCTACAACTTAATAAAATGATTATGAATAATCTTAACCTCACAGCAAAGATTTTATTTTTTTTTGAAATCATTTTGTAGGTGTGAAATGGTTATGCTTGCAGACATCTGCTTCCAAATTAGATTGTATTTTTAATTTCCAATGAGTCATTTTCTTGTGTGATACTTGTTTTAATTTGTGCTAGTTGGCATAGTTTTGATTCCTATCACTTCCAGAATACCTTGTTAAATTGTTTAATGCAATCAAAAGGAAAACTTGACTCTTTTTATATTGCAAATGACTATATTGGGAGCAAGATGGAGTACCTGGCTTCCATAGAGTATGTATGTGTCTAGCTACATTCTGAGTCTTTGATAGAAATAATACCATGCTATATCATTGCTAAGGAGCTCTGGTGTGGCCATAGGGTGTGCTGCTAATCAGAAGCCTGGTGGTTCAAACTCATCAGCCGCTCCACGGTAGGAGGATGGGCCAATCTGCTTTCGGAAAGATTTATAGCCTTGGAAACCCAATGGGAGCTGTTATGAATTGGAATAGACTTGATGACAGTGATTTTTTTTTTTCTTTTCCATATTGTCCCTACCTTGCTGTTGTTGTTATGTGCCAGGAGTTGGACCCGATTCATAGCGATCCCTCCTTGAGTTTCCTAGGCGGTGTCACTAGGGATGTAGATTGCCCAACCTTCCTTCTGGTCCCTACCTTAGCACGCTGTTTTAGAAGAGATATATGGAAAAAACAATTCTAGAACAATAAGGTAAAAATTTTACCAAACCTTATTTTATAGCATTGAGATACTGAAGTTATCTGTTAGTATCTAAGACATAAATGACATTATCTGAGTAAGGGATGGCAACTTCAAAAGTCTGCAAGGAGTATGCAGCTAACTTTTAACTATTTAAAACTTGCTGGGGAAAAGAAGATAGCTACTAAGCTCTTGTATCTTCTAAAACTCCTGGGAAGTCACAAAATACGGCTAAACAAAACCCACTGTTACTTTATAACCTATGGTCTCAGTAGATAAGGGAGAGATGATTTGGCCATGGGAGAAAAAGACAAGATAATAGAATGTGGAAAGAGGTGGGGGTCGTGGAAAGAGGTGGGAATCATGGAAGGAGGTGGGGATCAGGGAAGGGGATTGTAGAAGAAGTGCAAAAAAAAAAAGAAAAAAGTTGCCATCTTGTCGATTCAAACTCATGGCGAACCCATGTGTGTCAGAGTAGAATTTTGCTCCATAAGATTCTCAATGGCTGCTTTTACCAGGATTTTCTTTTGAGGTACCTCTGGGTGAACTTAAATCTTGAACCTGTGGTTAGCAGCCAAGTGTATTAACTGTTGGCGCCACCTGGGGACTCCAATTGGAAGATTGTAAATATTGGTTGAATGAATGAAATGAGAGTGAAACATATTGGAAAATAATTTGGTCTGAAGTGGAAATTTATACTGAGAAGATAGTGTGTTGCTCTAGTGAATCAAGTAATTATTTGTGTGCTTATTTTAGTCAGGGTATATTTTCATCCCTGATAAAGTGAGGTACAGAAAGGGAAGAAAGAAAGGGAGCGTATAATAACAACAATGGTTTGCCTGTTTGCCTTACTCCTGTATTCCACTACAGTGTGTGCACTTTGCAACCTAAAATTCTGAAGGAAGCGTGGCCTTTCAAAACTCACCTGAATTTTGTTTGGACCACTGATGATTGCATGGTTGTAACAGTAACTCTGGCTGATTTAGGAAATATGTCTGTCCCTCTAGTCTCCTCTGGTTTGCCTCTATTCCTTCATTTCCATTCCAAACAATCCCTTTAGTGAAATGATTTATAAGCTACCTAATGTTGCTTGGAAATTAATTTAGATTCTTCTTATTGATATGTAATCAATGATTAATCACTACCTTTAAGGTTTTAAAATGGTACTGATATTTAATTTTATAAATATTTTGTTGAGTTATAATTTACATAGCATAAAATTCATTCATTTGAAGTATACTGGAACAAACCCACCCAAACTCAAACCCATTGCCATTGAGTGGATTCCAACTCATAGCCAAACTTATTGGGTTTCCAAGGCAGTAAATCTTTGTTGTTGTTGTTGTTGTTATGTGCCGTCGAGTAAATCTTTAGGGAAGTATATTGCCCCGTCTTCCTTCCACTGAACCACCAACCTTCTGCTTAGCAGTCAAATGCCTTAGGCACTACGTCATCGGTGCTCCTTATTTAAAATATACATCTGTTAATTTTAGCAAATTTATATGGTTGTGCAACCATTGCAAGAATCTATTTTGGAACACTTTTTTCACCGGAAAAAGTTCTCTTATACACTTTTGCAGTCAGTCTCCTCAGCCCTAGGCAACTATTGGTCTGCTTTCTGTAGCTATAGTTTCCTATAACATTTTAGAAATGTTATCTGAATGGAATCATAGAATATCTGATACAAAAAAAAACTCAACCCATTGCCATCTAGTCAATTCCCACTCATAGCACCCCTCAGTGGGTTTTGGAGGTGGTAAATCTTTACGAAAGTAAATTGCCCCATCTTTCTTTCCTGGAGCGGCTGGTGAGTTTGAACGGTGACCTTCTGGTTAGCAGTCAAGTGCCCTAGGTGCTATGTCACTATAGCTCCCTAGGATATCTGATACATAGTTTATTTTAGAAACTAAATTTGCCTTATTAAAATAGCCAAAACAAACACAAAAACCAGAGAGCATCTAAATTAGGTGGATCTTGTATTTCTCAATGAATAGCAGCAGAATAAATTAATTGAGATTTTTTTTGTATCAGGTGCCAAGTCTTTATCATATGCCTCATTTGCATTGCTGAATTGTAGCTTATTTTCCTTTTATTAGATATCTTGTCCTATTTTGAACTATACATTACATGTTAGCTCTTCAAGATATTTGAACTAATGTTCTTTCCAAATGCAGGTTTTATTCTAAAGTCTATGTGACATTTTTTTTCCCAGAACTAAAAGTATTTATGTATGTGCAAAGAAACTTTGGGCTCTCAAATATTTGTGGATGGACGGATGGTTGGATAGAAGATGTGTAGATGATTTCCACATATTTAGGTATCTGGGAGGTAGTTTATAGCATACATTCTCAGGGTGTAGTGCATGTTGGAATAAATTTCCCTTTGTGTTTGTTTTTTAATTTAACAGAAGAAGTGTGAAGCATATTCTAGCAAGGAATACAGGTTTGCAGTGGACCGGGTCCTATGTTTTACCAGAGTTTCCCTATGATGTCAGGTGCATGCTGGCAGAGCAGAAGTGTCCTGATCACAGCATGAGGATAAGGATGATTGAGTTTCTCCAGGCAGACATGACTAAGTATCTGGAAGGCTCACTGTGAGTAGTACTGGGTGGACTTGCTGTTTTGGAAAGGGGTCTGTTTGCAGAGTAGAGTAGAAATCATTCCTAATCCACTCTTTCATCAATTTTGACATATTCGTAATGTCAACATTGTCCAATACATGAACGTTGCCTACAAAGATTTACGTTTTATCATATGGAAAGATTTGAAGTTTTTGTTTTGAAGTGATTTACTGTATTCATCTGAACGGAAGGACTGTGGGCTGTTTGAAATGAAACATGTCCTCCTTGTGGTGTACAGGTATCCCAGCACCCAGCAGTACAACAATGTGGTCAACGCCCTGTTGCAGGCCCACCCGTACCTGGACGAGGATGGCTGTGGCTTTGTAAGTGACCATATGGCACCAACCTATTAATCCCAGGCCATCTTAAAATGATACCTTGTATCATCCATCTAGTGATTTTTATGCCTCAACCCCTCTTTCAACCTCTTGGCCTCTAGGTCTGTCTGCTTCTCTGCCACTGATTCTCCTTCCCTGACTCTTTGTCTCTGTCTGGTCTCTGATTCTCTCTTCCCACAGCTCTGTATCTCTGTGTGTGTGTCTCTGTTTCTTTCTTTGTTTTGTATCTCTGTTGATTTTTGACTGTACTCATTTTGATACCTTCCTTGTTCATCACTCTCTCTGCCTGTTGTTTGTCAGCTCCTTGTCTCTCTCTAGTGGTCTGTCTCTTTGTTTCAAAGCTATGTGGAAGTTCATGTTTGACAGTGAGTCTATGGGGAGGGTCTTTAGGAGATATGATACATGAGAAGAGAAGGGTGATATTGTAGCTAAATCAGTGTGGTCTTCAGTAGAGTGCTTTTGTCTTCTGAATATACCCAGAGGAGAAGTTAATCTGGTTTTGAGGTCTTCACCTACAGCCTCACCTTGTCTTCTTGTCCTGATTAAAAAAAAAAAAAAGGATCCTAAGGATCTTTGGGGCAGCCATTCTCAAGCCTGGCTACAATTTGGATCCCTAGAGATTCTGTTTCAATTGGTCTGATGATAGAGCCCTGATATTAGTATTTTTAAAATTTCAAAGATGATTCTAATGTGCAGCCATGGTTGAGAATCGTCACTAACACCATAGCCAATACAAACCTTTCTGTCTCAACTTGCCTGCCTCTTTTTTTTTTTTTTTTTTTTAATTTTGATTGTGATTTGAGGGAGTTCTGGTAGCATAGTGCCTAAGGCACTTCACTGCTAACCAGAAGGCTGGTGGTTCAAACTCACCAACTACTCCTCGGAAGGAAGATGGGGCAGTCTACTTCCATAGTGATACTGCCTCGGAAACCAAGGAGGGGTTGCTATGAGTCGTGTCCGACTTGACGGCACATAACAACAACAACATTGTGATTTGGGTGAAAGTTTATAGGGCAAATTCATTTTCCACACAGCAGTTTATACACATTTTGTTTCATGACATTGACTATAATTTCCCACAATGTAACAGCTCCCTTCCCACTTCCTCCCCATAGTTACCTCTTCCCTGTGTCCTTCCCCCCATGCACTCCTGCCCCCCAGCTGTCTCCCTGTGCATACACAGCCCTTCTCTTCTCCCATGATTGTTCTCTCCAAGGAGTCTATCTACCTAATGTAAATGTTCAGCTCATATGCCTGACTTGTATTTGGGTGAAAGCCACAGGAGTGAGTTCAGTTCCAGACCTGAAGGGCAGCTAGGCGCCATAGTATAGTCTCAAGGGTTTTACCAGGCTCTATCAGACCAGCAAAACTGGTCTTTTTTTTTTTTTTTATAATTTTGAGTTTTGTTCCACATTGTTCTGCCACTCTAACCAGGATCTTCTACACCTATCCCCCTCCAAGTGGTTGACAGTGGTACCAGGCACCATCTAGTTCTTCTGGTCTCATAGCGACCTGCCTGCCTCTTGGGTTAAAAACCCTGGAGTCCCCATATCAGCAGTTATGCTGTGACAGTGGATGCTGATAAAATTGTTGTTCAGAATTCCTTCTGCACCAAAGATATAATCAGTGCTACTGGTGTCTAAAGCATTTGCCTGCTAATCAGAAGGTTGGGCAGTTCAAACCTACTAGCTGTTCCACACAAGGAAGATGGAGCAGTTTACTTCTGTAAAGATTTACCACCTTGGAAATCCAGTGAGGGTCCCTATGAGTTGAAATCAGCTTGATGGCAGTGAGTTTGGTTTTCTGGTTTTGCCTGTACACAGAACTAGTTTTTTTTCAATTAATATATTGTTTGAGTAAGTTATACATTCACATAATTCAAAATTCAAAAGCTATAAAAGGGTATAAATGGAAAAGTCACCCTCCAACTGCCCACTGGTCCCCAAGTTTTCCTTCCCAGAAGTAATCAATATGATTAAATTTTTTTTCCAGAGAATCTTTGCATATACATAAAAGCAAATATGTTCCTGTGCACTTGCATTTTGACCTTTAGTTTATGGTTATCTAGACAAACAGGAAACAAATAATAATGCTTATCTTGCTGTTGTGTTCATTTTACCCACAACTGTTCCCAGTGGCATTAACGAAAGACAGTTAACTAATAAAGAGACCTGCATACTTGCTTAGCATGTTTGTATGGAGAGAGCAGAAGGGGAAACTGGTGTGTGGTCTCCAAATCCTCCTATGACCGTGTTTAAGGTTGTATTTTTAATGTTACAGTGGAAGTCATAGAAAATTACTGAGAACATTAATGTGTGTGTGAGTGTATGTAGGAGCTTTTGTCATTTGGGGGCTAATTTTATTCTAAACTTTTTATTTTGAAAACATTTAAAATATACAAAAATTGATAGAATGCTACTGTGAACATTCATGTCACTTTCATCTAGATTAAGTGATGTGAGTGACATATGCCTGAATATACCCAGAGGAGAAGTTATCTGGTTCCCAGCCTTGCCTTGTCTCATGCATACTTTCCGCTGTCCTGATAAGAAAAGGATGCTGAGGATCTCTGGGGCAGCCATTCTCAAGTCTGGCTGTGTATTTGGATCCCTTGGCACTAGGAACATTTCCACTGGATAATTAATTCTTTAATTTAGGTGCTGTCCTGCATATTGTAGGATATGTAGCAGGATCCCTGGCTTACATCCAGTAGTTACTAGTAGCATCCCTCACCCTCAGTTTTGGCAACCAAAAATATCTCCAGACATTGTCAAATGTCCCCTGGGGATAAAGTCCCCTTGGTTGAAAATCACAGCTCTAGATTCACCAGAGGTTAACATTTTGCCACATTCATTATTTCTTTCTCATATATATTTATATGTTTGCCTGGTTGGTGGTTTGTTTTGGCTAAGCAGTTGAAAGTAAGTTGCAGATGTCATCCCTAAATGTCTTAGCATAAATCTCATAATCTCATAAGGCTATCTTCTAAATAACCACAATGCTATTTTTAGACCTAAGAAAATTAATAATTCCATGATATCATATATAATCTCTATTCAGATTTACTCATTTATTCAAAAATTCTTAAAACTGATTTTTCAAAGTAAAGTCTAATGAAGTATTATGCATTGCATTTCTTTGTTATATCACTTTAGTCTCTCTTAATCTAGTGCAGTCTTCCTGCCCTTTTTTTTGTTTTCCCTGATATTTACTGTTGCATAAGTCTAATACCAGGTACCTAGCAGGCTGCTGTACAAGTGGAGTTTGTCTGAATGTTTCCTCATGATGACATTTAGGGTACAGATGCTGGGCAATGATATGTCAGTGAAACCCTGTCCTGCTTCATGTATGGCATCAGGAATCTCTTCATTTAGGGCTATTTTTAAATTTCAGAATGATTGGAGGAGAGCTATATCCACATAGAACTTTCCACACCCTCTCTAGCTAGACAACTATGGAAAACGGGGATGATAATTCACTGACACAAGTATTTTTTTTTTTTTTTAATTGATTCTGTCTATGTGAGGCATTTGTTAAGGAAATCATAGGGCCAGTCATGCAGCACATACTTGGTAAATACTTGTAGGTCAAATCCTCATGTGCAAGATTTGATTGGAGTTGCCCTTTTTCTGTTATTATCAGACATTTAATGAGAAGGGGAGATAGGCTGGGAAGGAGTAATTGTGATTTAAAAATGTCTTAGCAGTTAATTGCTCTAATACCTTCCACCAGCTTGAACAGATTTAGAAACTCTTCAGACTGTAGGAAACTTGGGGGGAAATTTGTATATGCACAAGTGCATATAAAGGCATCCTTCATTTCCAGGGTGTTATAAGACAGTGATGGTAGAGTGCAGACTCATCTCTGACTGATCCACGCCCAGGGTCTTAATCAGTGCTGAAGCCATCCCTAAATCTCAACCTGAACCACGCCTCATTGGGGCTGCCAAAGGGTTTTGTGAACAGCACTTCCATTTACAAATAGCTCACAGGAATACCTACTCATTGAGTCTCCCCAGAACCTAGTGCAGTTCACAGGACAAATATTACTCTGTTTCAGAGTTAAAGAAACTATGGTTGAGAGAGTTTATGTTCAAGGCTACTTAACCAATACGCACTAGAGCTAATACTAGATGCTGAGTGTTTCAGTTTAGTTCATTGTGCTTTCTGAATGGGAGGGATGAGTTATGGGGATGTAAGCCAGTTAACCAAGAATGGTATAATAGTCATGGAGAAAAATCTAAGTGCTAGACACTTGACAAATATTACCTCAGTGGTGTTCCTATTTACTTGTGAGGAAACAGGGCTCTGAAATTGGGCCCAAAGTCATCTAGCTGCTTACCACCCTCTGTCATGTCCAGGGCTGGGAGATAAACACTGACTTGCCTGCTGACAAAATGCTTTCTGTTCTTGGCACTCGCTATCAAATCTGGTCAAGCTTGTGGCAATCCAGGGAAGATGAAGGGCTGACAAGCAAATCCGGAAACCCAGGCTGTAAAAAGTGTTGAGTCTTTACTCAACACAGTGATTTACTTACCAGGCAAAGCCCAGGACTCCCAATCTAGCTTCTAGTTAGCAACTGTCTGTTGCTTTAACCTGGGACCCTCTATCTCATGGAGGATTGACACAAGGCATTGTAATTCAAGCACTGGGCTGGGCTTCGTGAGCAGGGCAGACTGGGCCTGTCCTCAAATGTTTGCAGACAAGTAGGAAGGAAGGGGGCAGGAGAGAGGGAGAGGAGGGAGAAAGGAAATCAAGAGAAAAATATATTACTTAGATGAAGGTAAATTACCAGTGCATGTGAAGGAAACTTGAGAGTCAAGTGCCAAAAGATAAGCTGTTTAAGAGGCCTTTCCAGGGAGTCAGGGCTAAGCTGAGATCAGGAGGCTAAGAATTAACTAGATGCAGCCAAGGTGTGGAAGGAGATAAAAGGTGTTGGGAAAAGAAGCCCAGCTGTGCCACCCAGCTATTGTAATGTCAGTGGTCTCCCAAGAACTCCCCACATGTCAGACAGGTATTTCCAGAGCTCAAAATCTGACGACTCTCTCGCCATTCAATGTTGCCTAGTAGGGTTTCCTAACCTGGGTCTGTAGCCCAATTATCTGTAAAGCTTTTTGAGTATAACAGACATCTAGGCCCACCCAGACTGACTGAATCAGACTCTTTAGGGTCTAAAGGAGCAGTCTTGGCTTCTTCAGGAAACTTGTTAGCAATGCAGATTATCAGCCCCACCCCATACCTACTGAGTCAGAGATTGCGGGGGTGGGACCCCAAAACCTGTGTTTCAACAAGACCCCCCCCCAGAGGTTATGACACACACAGAAGTTTGAGAACTATAGCTTTAGATGAAGGATTAAGGGCAAAAAAAAAAAAAGCCCCACTGTGATTCCCACTGCAGCCTGTCTAGAGATGAGTTTGAGAAACTCTGGTTCAATTATTACACTGAAGCTACTTTATGTGGGTACCACAGCCTTTCAGAACAAGACGGACTTTTGTCTCCAGCCTCATTTCCACCTCTTCAGGTCTTTACTCCAGCCATGTATAATCTTGGCAGTTCTCAAAAAGGCACAGCTCACCCTCTCCTCCATTGTACCTGCTGCTTACTCGCCTGGAGCGTCTATCCACCCAGCCACCTGACAGTCCCCCAATCCTATCACCATCTCCATTAGCTTAGATTCTCCCCTTGCAAGGAGACTTGTATGATATCTTAGAAATATATAAACTAATTCTGTGTCTTCCCCTGTTTTGACATATTTAATATATACAGTGAAAGCAAATCTACTCGCTCCTCCTCTTCTCACCCCCGGGGCAGGAAACAGGTCTTCATGTTAGAAACAGACACCTCACAAACATTTTGGGCAATGAATGATAAGCATTCATCAAAGGGAATCTCAGGGAGTGACAGAAAAAAATGTTAAGCTGTATCAATCGACATATGCAGTGTTTGCGTTCATAAACCAGCACCAGTCTTTCCTAGAGCCCACTGTTGTTGTTGTTGTTGTTATGTGCCGTCGAGTCGGCCCCGACTCATAGCGACCCCTCCTTGGGTTTCCGAGGCAGTATCACTACGGAAGTAGGATTGCCCAACCTTCCTTCCCAGGAGTGGCTGGTGGGTTTGAACCGCCAGCCGTCTGGTTAGCAGGCAAGTGTCTTAGCCACTATGCTACCAGAGAGCCCACTAGAAGAACAGGATGTGCTGTGAAGACCGCAGATTGTAGTAGAAAGTGTTCAGGTTTGGGGGTTAGAAAATTTAGGTTCAAGAGCTGGCATGTTTACTCAATAGCTATATGACATTGGGGAAATATTTTAATTTCTCTGGCCCTTAAATTCCTTAGATATACTTTAGGGATTGTAATTTTTATAGCCATGTCACAAGACTGTTGTAAGGATAAATGAAAGGACCAAATTCACTGCCATGGAGTTGATTCGCACTCATAGTGACCCTGTAGGACAGAATGGAACTGCCCATAGGATTTCCAAGGCTGTGAATCTTTGTAGAAGCAGACTGCCATGTCTTTCTTCTGTGGACCAGCTGGTAGGTTTGAACCCCTGATCTTACAGTTAGCAGCAGAGCATTTAACCACTGCACCACTATGGTTCCTTAAATGAAAGGACAGATATATTTATTACTGTGATGAGAAAAATAATTTCAAGCCCAAGCGTGGAGACAAATTAAGATTTTACTGTTCTATAGAATTATTCTCATCTCCATGAAGATTAACTGCCTTGTTTTGTGACTTTATGCAGTTTTTATGGAAACGAGCCCTCAAAGATCGCTTTAAATATGTTCGAAGACCCATAGAAGATGATGAGCAAGTGATGAGAAATAAGTGTAAATTTGGACACCGAAGAGGCCAGACACAGAAATCCCTTGCTAGTCTGAGATGTGGTGAAGTTCATATTGTCCAGATAAAAGTAAGGTTGGATCTTTGAATGTTTTGACAACTCATTGATTGATTAATCCAGAAATAGTAGCACTTACAAAGTATTATTTTTAAAATTTGAAGGATTATGAGAAATCAACAAAATCTATGTGTTCATATGATTTACAGTGTGAATGACAGCATTTCTAAAGCAAGGCTTCCGAAACCAGTTTGGACAAAGTCTGAGCATTTCATGTTCATAGCTCATAGCTTGCAAAACACCTGGGAAATCCATTAAGTCAAAAGTCCTTGAATAGTTCCTTTCTTGTCCTCTAATGTATCTGGCACTCTTGCTGTTCTTATTACTACACTGTGTTTTCAATGTTTATTGTAGGGGTTAGGTGGCTTCTGGTCTGCAGGGAGGAAGATAATCCACATGTATAGACACATTGTACCATACTGCCCTTCCCCCACCCTGGTCCAGAAGGCTTTGCTACCAACCCAGAGGAGGCTAGTGATGAGCATCAGGCCAGGGTCCCAGGAAGGATCTGGGCGTTCCTTCCTCAGTACCTCTGGGTTCTGCTGTAAATAACCATGTGGCCCTAATGATCTGACATCCTGTAAGTGTTCCTTATCCACCGCACAGTTCCTCATATCCTTAGAAATAGATGTTTTGTTTTGTTTTTTTTTTTTCACCTGCTAATAGAGCAGATTGAACTTCTTGGGGTTGCAAACTACGAAGTATAAAATCTAAATCTCTTATACACCATCTTAGTCCAACAGGAGTATTTAAATTCTAACTTTTCACTCTCACTGCCTTTGAGTTGGTCCCTCCTTGGGTTTCCAAGGCAGTATTACTACAGAAGTAGATTGCCCAACCTTCCTTCCAAGGAGTGGCTGGTGGTTTTGAACCGCCAGCCTTCTGGTTAGTAGTGAGATGCCTTAGGCACTATGCCACCAGAACCCCCAACTTTTCACCGCAGATATGTTTTTATTAATGAATGTACTTGGTGGAAATATTCTGCTTCCTTTTCAGCTGCTATATTCATGTGGTAGTAATAGAATTACCTATGTAATCCCCTTAATGTTATTAGTACAAGTTATAAACTCCAGGGAACAAGAATATCGTGTAAACCATCTCAGCATCATTCATAATGAAAAATTTTAGATAAAAGTATCTTATTTTCAAATGACAGGTCAGTTAAGATTACATAGATATTACAGATAGAGATAATATAATTAGATACAGATAAGGAAATACAGATAGATCATTCTGTGTCTTTATTTTGACCAAAGTATCAAGATATCTGGAAGGTACTCTAAATTTAGTGGTATATGTTTTTAGAAAATTTGACAGCAAAATTCCAATTATAAATTAAAATCATGATGAGATAGAATTGTATTTATTTAAAAATATCTTTAGTATTCTTGAAATGAAAAGTCACTTTCTAAAAGAGCATTACTATATTACTCATAAACTGGTTGTCTTAAAGACATTGATTCTCAATATACCAAAAATAAAGTTCCTTCAGAAAAGAATTGAAAATATGTGAATTCAAACAAAATTCACTGGAGTTGATGAATGGTAAAAAACTGCAAAATTAACAATTGTCCCCACCACTAGCATCTGAGGAGTCAGAGCAGGGTCAGCCTGAGGGACATAACTTTGAATTACAGCTCCTCCCTCATGCTGATGTGTCAGCTTTGAACCAGTTTCATATGTATACTTTTTCTGTTCCTTCTCAGAAGCAACTCATAGTGTCCCAGTAGCACAGAGTAGAATTCTCCCTCAGGGTTTCCAAGGCTGTAAGCATTAGGGAAAGAAGCCCTGGTGGCACAGTGGTTAAAGCATTCAGCTGTTAACCAAAGGGTCAGTGATTCAAACCCACTAGCCACTTTTTGGGAGAAAAATGAGGCAGTCTGCTTCCATAAAGATTTATAGCTTTGGAAATGTGACAGGGCAGTTCTGCTCTGTCCTGTAGGGTCACTATGAGTCAGCGTTGACTTGATGGCCATAGGTTTGGTTATTCAGGTAATCATTAGGGAAGCAGACTGCCTCATTTTATTAGTTGGCAGGTTCAAACCACCAAACTATTGGTTAGCAATCAAGAACTTAACCACTGTGCCACAGGGCTCCTTACTAGTCCCCTTGTTGTTGTTGTTGTTATGTGCTGTTGAGTCTGACCCGACTCATAGCGACCCCTCCTTTGGGTTTCCGGGGCACTATCACTATGGGAAGGAGAGCTCTGGTAGCATAGTGGCTAAAGCACTTGACTGCTCACCAGAAGGCTGGCGGTTCAAACCCACCAGCCACTCCTCGGAAGGAAGGTTGGGCAATCCTACTTCCGTAGTGATACTGCCTCGGAAACCCAAGGAGGGGTCTCTATGAGTCGGGGCCGACTCGACGGCACATAACAACAACAACAACATCACTATGGAAATAGATTGCCCATCTTCTTTCTGAGGAGTGGCCGGTGGGTTTGAACCACCAGCCTTCCGGTTAGCAGTCAATTGCCTTAGTCACTATGCTACCAGAGCTAGACATGCCTAAATCCTACTACTATGTAAGGGCCTTTACTACAAAAAGAATGGAACTTGCACGTACCAGAGCTAGGCCGAGGTGTTCACAAAGCAACAAGATTTAGCTTTGATGTTCCTGCCAGCTGGGGCAAAAGAGATGATAGGAAGGACATCGTTCACATCTGAAGAAACAGCTTCTTTCCTGATGTACAAATCTAATTGGTAAGGATTAATTTTCTCCCTCTTACAAATGAAGCTACAACTTGCTGATCTTTTAAAGACCCACTTATGAACCAGTGCTCTCTAAGGTCAAAAACTTTAAAGGATGGGAAACAGTTTACACTATAATATGACAGAAACAGTGTGCATGTGTATCTCATGTCCTCCATGGTGGTTAAGCAAATCTGAAAACACTAACAAGGATGGGTGCCATATATGGACTATGTACTTTATGTCATTCACACTAACTGCCTGGGTGATTTTCAATCTTCATTTTTAATTTCCCCTGATAGCACTTTTTTTTTTTTTAATTGTGATTTGGGTGAGAGTGTATAGAGCAAATTCACTTTCCATACAGCGGCTCACATACGCTTTGTCTCATGACATTGACTACAGTTTGCAACAATGCAAGAGCTCCCTTCCCACTTCCCACCCATAGTTCCCTGTGTCCTTCCCTCCCATGCACTCCTGCCCCCTGAGCTGTCTCCCTGTGCACACACAGCCCTTCTATTCTCCCATGATTGTTCTCCCCAAGGAGTGTATCAACCTAATGTAAATGTTCATCTCATATGACTGTCTTTTGTTTGGCTGGAAGACACAGGAGTGGGTTCAATTCCAGAACCCAGTGGGTTCAGTGGTTCCATCAGGCTCTATCAGACCAGCAAACTTAGTCCTTTCTTTCTTTCTTTCTTCTTTCTATCTAATCTATTTATTCATCTATTTATTTATTCATCTATTTATCTATCTATCTATCTTTATTTATTTATTAATTAATGATTTAGAGTTTTGTTCCACATTATTCTCCTGTTCTATCCAGGATCTCCTACCTAGATCCCCCTCTGAGTGTTTGACAGTGGTAGCCAGGCACCATCTATTTCTTCTGGTCTCATAGTCGTATAACCTGAAGATCGCGTGGTGTACCAGTCGCTCGAACTAATTGTTTCCATGAATCTTTGGTTTTCTTCATTCTTCTTTACTCTGGATGAGGAGAGGCCCATCCTTGTATCTAGATGGCTGCTTGCAAGCTTTTAAGATCCCATTCGCTACTCGCCAAAGTAGGATGTGGAACAATGTTTTGTGTAGTATGTTATGCCAGTTGAGCTTAATGTCCCCTGTGACTATGGACCCGAGCCCACAGGTCCAACTACTCTCTCCCTCTGGGCAGCTGGCTGTGGCCAAGAAGTGACTACAACCTTGTCCATTGTCAGCTCTACTATATACCTGGGAATTCTTACAGAACATACCAATACATTTGTAGAAACATTGTCTGCCAACCCTAAACATGGCTTTGGGCACACTCCTCCCTGCATAGACATACCTAATAGTTCAGCTTGTACACCCATCTATCCACCCATATATCTGCATGTTTGCCTTCACTGACAACGCAGTACTGTAAGTGCAAAAAGGTTCATCTTTGTTGTCTCTACCTCGCATGTACCTCTATGTCTTCCTCTTCCTCGGTGCCACTGTGTTGATCACTCACATTTGGCACATTGCTCTTCTCTTCACCCAAATCAATACTTGTCTCTACCTGTCTAACAGTGTTCCCTCCCCTTCCCTCCCACCCCTGGTAACTAACAAAATTTCCTTCCATAGAAAAACCTTTCCTTGACTTTTTACAATAACGGATTAATACAGTAGTTGTCTGTCTGTGATTGACTTATTTTACTCAGCATAATGTACTCCAAGTTCATCTACCTTATGTGATGTTTTGCAGATTCTATGTTATTCGTTAGGGTTGCATAATATTCCATCGTGTGTATGTATCATAGTTCGGTTATCTATTCTTCAGTTGATGGAATCTAGGTTGTTTCCATTTTTTGGCTATTGTAAATAGTGCTGCAGTGCACATGGGTGTGCGTATGTTCTTGTTCTGGCTCTCATTTCTTTAGGATATATACCTAGTAATGGAATGGCTGAGTCAAATGGTATTTCTAATTCCAATTTTTGAAGGAATCACCATACTGCTTTCCACAGTGGTTGTATCATTTGACAGTCCCACCAGCAGTGTATCAGAGTCCCAATCTCTCTGCATCCTTGCCAGCATTTGTTATTTCTGTCTTGTTTACTTTGCTACTAGTGCTGAGGCAAGATGGTATCTCATTATTGTTTTGATTTGCATCTCTCTAATGGCTAATGATCATGAGCATTTATTGATATGTTTGTTTCTAATGTTGAACCATCCTCACATACCTGATATGAACCCCACTTGGTCATAATGAATGATTTTCTTGATATGGTGTTGGAGTCTATTGGCTAGGATTTTGTTGAAGATTTTTGCATCTATATTCATGAGGGATATTGGTCTGTAGT